TCAGAAAGTTTTTAAATATATTTTTTTATATAGAAATAAATAACAATCGTATAATTTTAATAATAGAATGTTTTGTAGTGTCACAATTTATTTCTAAATATATTTGATCTTTTCAATATCATATGAACTAACTTCTCGATGTATGAAAATAAAATCGCTATCAGTGGCACCACCGATAGTCGCGTGTCTACGAGTCTTTGAACACCGAACATAAAACAAATCATAGTACATTGTAATATGATTCAAATTCCAACGAGCATGTCATAGACAAACATAGTAACTCCGTTATGACTTATTTATGCCTTTTTACAACATTATTTATGCGCTGATGTGTTTGATGTGGTACTTACAAATTGGTTGGATCAGAATTAATATTATATTTAGTATGTATACTGTAGACGTCGTTTAGAAGGTACATTAGTAACTGTATTGCATGCAGCATAAAAGTTAAGTCATTTATCTAGCGAATACTTTTTATATGTTAGTTATTTACTAAGAAAGCTATATATAAAGAGATAGTAAATATTTTAAATGAAGTTTAACTAGTAGTGTTCTAATTGAATCACATTACCGCGGGTCAGTAATTCCAAAGTTGGTTAATTCGCAACTCTAACATTATGACAACTAACCAAATAGAGGGTCCGTATCTATGGGGGTTGTCTATCCAGGGGTTCTATTTAGGGGTTAACTATTTGTCTATATCATGTCCAACTAAACACAAAACATATGTTGGGATGATAGTCGTTCACGGTTTAATGCGCAACACACGTGGCCAATTGGCATTTTTCTGGTCTATTAGATATATAAAAACTATATAAATAGGAGAAAAAAATATTAAATTTTATACGAAATCACACTTACTATTTTAATGATAATAATTTATTTGTAATGAATATGTATTATGTCATTTTAATTTTGTTTTCGAAATGAAACACCTTAATAAAAATATTAGAAGAAAATGCCCCAAAACTTTTTTGTTTGTTTTAGTTTCTATGTCAGAGTTTAAGTGTTATCTTGTAAGCCGTGTTGAGGTTTGTCGGTATGAACAATGGCACCCCTATTACAACGTGGGGTGCACATTTGTCCAAGGTTAGGGAGTCAAGGTCGCCTCAAGGGATGCAGGTAGTTCCACTTTCACTATGTTTACCTCATCATCAACATTTTGAGCACGCGACCCGTCACGCTTAACAACAAACCAATAAAATTTAACCGGACGTATAATCTAACTCGGTAATGTTAATGTTTACAAACTGGGTAAAGTGTGACTTAGCACGTGATCGATAAGCTCCTGTTATTTTCATTCTCAATGGTCGTACGTTTTCTTATAAGCATTATTGTTGTTATAAGAATTTTATTATGAAGACGCCTTAGGGCTTCAACACACTGTCTTCTAAGTAAGTTGTTGTAGTCGTAATTCGTTCCCTGACTGTTCTTGAAGTTTTTAATGTCTTGAATAGAAGTAATTACTATATATTACTTGTATTGTTATATCAAAATGACTTGAAATTCATTATTATATGTATATTTTTACAATTTTGAAGTCTTTTAATACAGGGTAATAAATTTTGTTAAACAAAAGGCAATAAAGAGGTTAGTGAAATAAGGTTATTCTATAACTGATAATGATTTTTGTCTGAAGTTTGTTAATAGGTACTATTGTTTTGAGTTTGTATGTACGTGTTTTTAAATTCTAACTTTAAATTTTTAAGCAAATAAGTATATCGAATTTAATTAATATCATTACGAACGAATATATTATACAAATAAATATATATCTAAATATATATTTATTTGTATAATATATTGTAATGTATAATATAATTTTGTATAATTAATAGATGTAGATATAAAATCTTATAGTAATATATCATGATGTTAAAAAACAAGATTTTATAGAGACAGATAAGATTTTAAGTGGCCAAGTGTCCGTCTAAATAAAATAGGATATGTGTTTTTTTTCTTAATATCCATAACAACCTTTAAATGACTTTCGATAAAGGTTAAATATAGGAACTGGTTTCTGCAACAAATGCATTATGAGCTACAACAAAAACGATTTAAAAACTGCACTATTATAATCATTTTAGATGATAAATTAAATTTATATCGTCACTAGCTTTCCGCCCGCAGCTTCGTCCACGTAGAGTTCGGTTATATCGCGTTTCCAAGAGAAACTTTCAAAAGTGAGATAAAAACTATCCTATGTTCTTTCTCAAGGTCCACTCTATATTTGTACCAAATTTTATTAAAATCAGTTCAGTGGTTTAGGCGTGAAAGCGTAACAGACAGACGGACAGAGTTACTTTCGCATTTATAGTATTAGTAGGGGTTTATTTACTTTGAAAGATCTCAAGGCTATTTAGAAGAGAAGAGATAGGTGGAGATGATTTTTTTAGAGGAATTTTAGTCTGTAAACGTAGATTATAGGTGTTAGCTTATGCATGTAGCAATGGTCAAGTGTAAGTGCTAACGATTATTAACGTACCGTGAAGCAGAACATCCACAATTTGACTAACCACATGCAACTGTACTTCTATTAGGGGCCACTGATCCGATAATATTGTATTATATTAAACCACGTGGATTTATATTTGCATTATAAATATATCTTTCATTTTATATGCGATAAATAAGATAAGTTTAAATGTTTGTTATATTAAAATTAGCTTTTTTTACTTAAGATATGGATGTATGTGTGTGTTTTTTTATTTTTTGTCTGTCTCTTTGTTACGATTTATCTCGTAAACGGTTTCATTAGCACAAAGCAAGTAAGGAGTACATTTATGTAAAATATTTCTCAATGTTTATTTATATTAATGATAAAATAAACTATTCCGTACATTCGAATTTTTAAGCACAGACAGTTGTATTAAAATACAATTAGTCTTTAATAATGTTTTCTAACAAGTAACTTCTATATATTACAACTTTTCTATAGAGTAAACTTCAAGTATATAGTAAGTGCGAAGTTTTCAGTAAGTAAGTCAAAGCTGTGTATAATCGTGAACAAAAGTGGTCACATTATCTATCCGACCTTGACCCTAGTGCATCGCATTAGCATATAAACGCAGCCGGCGGGGAACTGGTTGCGACGGTACCTACGCAACTTGTTGTACGGACTTTCAAATCTGTTCTTTATACACAAAAGATATGTAAAAGATATTTATCTTTATATATCTTTTACTTAACACTAGTGATATCTTTTAATAGTTCACTAATGAGTGACATTTTTGAGTAATACACTCGAAGTTTAAATTTATATCTTAAAAATTATTTTTTTGGTTCGTGTATTAAAATCATTGTATTTTTTATGTAAAATAACTTTAAATTTAATTATTAAGTTATAAACGTATTGTTATTGAGTGAGAAAAATTACTGACAGTTCACTTTACAAAATTACTTAAAAGTCAACCCCCAAACAAGCGTTGTATTTGTAAGATATAGGATGAAGTACTTATTTTAAATATATATTTTTACTATTTAAAGAGTTTTAATACTTTTATATTATAAAAAATTATATCTGCATAATATTCTGTTAACTTTCACCTACATTATTTGACTAATATTTTTATTCTACTAAACTTTTTTTGAAGGTTTTTTTTATTATTATTACTTTTATCGCGATATTAATTAATGATTATAATTATCATGAGATCTAAGATTTTCGCGAGTATTCATTTAAATAAACTAATATCTTCGGATTACTTTTAGTATTTTATTGTTTTGAAACTACATACTCCCGAAGTTTCTGTTACTTTTCAGCATCCGTGACCACGGAGACGAGATATCTGGTAGTAATGTAAAATAAATGAAACAATACTTTATAATATTCAATTCTTCGTTCTCATATATTGTAATTATTAAGTTTGATTTTAGTTTAATAATAATTAAAGAAAATGTAAAGTTTACGGGAAGTCCAAATATAAATTTTATTCTTTATAAAATATCTGTAAAAAATATAGTACGTAATTGAATTAATATAATAAAATTTTAACATATTGGTTTTATAAGTAAAGCTTTTTAGCAAATTTCTTATTAGACACATTATTTCAATGCTTCTTTAAAATGTAAACTTGTAATTTTTAAATATATCGAATATAAATAAAATTCCAACATATATTTCTGAATATATAAATATTCCTTGTATTTAATAATTTGAATATTTCTTTAAAGTTTTATATGTTACTCTAATATAAAATATTGTTTATCAATATATTGCTACAATAACTTTTTTTAAATATTTGACGTATTGTCTTAAAACTTCTGAGAGACTTTCTATTACTTTATAAATATTCAATTTCTGTAATAAATAAATTATTAAGTAGGTCATAAGTTCTAAATATTAGTCTTTACATAATCGTCTGAGACAATTTTCTTGTTTTTCTGATTTTCCGGCATTTCATTGCCTTTTTATTTCTATTGAAATTATCGGAAAACTTTTTTGACAATATAAAATTATTTTGAAACTCTGTTGTATTCGTAGAGCATCTGTTAAAGTTTGTGTGTATGTTTGTCAATCAATAGTTGAAGAACTAATGTTTGTTAAATTTTATTACGAAGAACAAATCATCAACTTTTTGTGTCATAAATCACCGGAATTGCTCTACATAATAAAGTTTAAACATGCGAGCGAAACCGCGGGCAAAATTTAGTTTCGGTTTTAATAATACGTCTAAACAAATTTGACTGAATAAACAAGAATAATTAGTTCTCTTTAATATTTCTTAAATAATTAACAATAATTTTTACTTTCTTTAAACTATTTTACTTTCTAAAAAAAACTATTTTTAAAGAAACTCATATATCTAATATATATAAAAACTACATAATAATTTCCATCCAAAAAAACAATCGCTACAATAAAACATAAAAAAATATATAAATATAGAAAAATAATAACGCAACGAAATCGTGCTTTAGTTTCAAAGCAAATAACAAAAAAATTGTGTAAAGTTACTTTATATGTGTAACAAATAAATGGCGCCAAAATGCATCCTCACCCGTGTGACAGTAGTCTTCTAAGTAATGTCTCGCAGCCCGCTGTACTATAGAGTAGTACAAGCTCACAGAAGATGCCAACGCCATTCTTCCCGATGGTCTGTCTAACGAGTGTCAGTTATGTTACAGAAACATTTGTAAATAAAAACAACGGAAACATACGAACTCAAAACGTCACAACTGCATTAGTTTGTGATAAATTATAATAAACAAACCGAATAACCGAAACAGTAAAACTTTTAGTTGCGGCTAGTTTGACAGAATTTTTCCGAAAGAATCATTTTTGATAGACAAAACGTGTTCACGGTGTTCCATATTTAAATTTCATTTATGATATATATATATTTTTTTTGTAATTATCATTTATAATGTTATTATTTTTTCGTCCGAAATCACAATTTGGTGCACATGACGCGCAATGTACCGCGGATATGTCTACGCGAAATGAAACACGTGTAACAAATGTAATAAAATAAATAACGTTGGAGCGTGCGCCGCGCGCCGCGGTGTCAGCGAGACTGGGGATTGTACCGCTTTTTTTTTCAACTTCCCCTCAGCGTTGGATGCTGAAACATACGCGGATAAGCCGATCGCATTTATTATTATCGAATTTTTTCCAAAAGTTTTTCATAATTTTTTATTTTTAACTCCTATTTCTCTATACGTTTCGGGAATGCTTTTCATAGGTTTTTATTATTTTTTTTTATTCACATATGAATTCTTTTTCGTTTTGAAATCTAAGCAAATTTTAACTGGATGAAATGCTGTTTTGCCGTTTTAATACATAAGTACTACTATATGTGAAATGTTTATATTTCGTGAGTTGTTCTTATTGGATTCGTATTGGCGGAATGTTTCGGAAATTCCGCGTCCTTGAGAAAAGGCGGGAAAATAAGTTTCCCGCCGAGACGAGACATGCGTACAGAAGACTCCGAGTAGGAGGACTTGAGATTGTATGTTATGTTAAAAGTTTACATTTAGAATATAATACATTTGATAATATACTTAAGTAATTACATTTTAAGTTACAACCTCTTTCGACTCTGAGAAATCTTTCAATATCTTGATACGTCTCTTGCTAGATATAAGTTAGATTGGCAACATTTTTAAGTAACTCATTAACATTTTTAATTAATATGTTGTCAGTTATCTAATAAGCGAGTTGGGAATGATTAAGGTGAGACAGCTTATCGGTCGTCAACATAATCGGACGCTCCGCAATTATGACGAAACCCTTTAAAAACGATTCGCGTAAAAATAAGGAAAAAAATGAGAAAAATGTTCATCAACGCGACACGACTGCCCCCCCCCCTCCGCCCCCGTTCTCTCACACTCTCCCCCGCTCTGCCCCCTCCCTGTCCCCCCTCAGCGGGCGGCGGGAGGAGAGACAGGGACAGGTGCACTCCTCATATATATCAACTCCCTTTGCTGCATCTCGCGCCACAAGTTTCATACGAAAACTACCCGCGCTGCGCACCCATGGACACACAACGACAATGACCTAACAATAGATACATGCAAGCGAATAAAGAACTCACAGCCCAGACATTAGATTGATTTTTGATTGCAGATGGTAATGGACGTTGCGTGTTGTTCCGCTGAAGTTTTGGTCTCTTGCAACTGTAGGCACACTCACACACGTGCGCTAAGTTTAGCCCTCGTACGTACGAGCTGCAGTTACACACACATGCTCACCTCGCTCGGCGGCTGCGCGTGTGTGTGTGCGAGTATAGTGTAAGCACAAAAGTTCGTATAGAAGTTTTCGGTTGAAGTTCTTTGTGTCAGTGATTTTTTTCGTAGAGCGTTCGCATGTGTGCGCGGGTCAGTTGTATTTTTTTTCAAGTTTTTCTGTACACACACACACGCACGCTTGTTGTTTGTACGGGCCGGTGAGTCTGTGTGGGTGGCAGCCCGTTCTTTGTGCCCGGGGATTGTAAAAAATGTCGTATTGGATTCTAGCTGTGCTAATGAATGATAGATAGAAATGGTATTGGTATTGGTCCTACTCTAAAATCTCATGTTGAATATTCGACTATATTTTCTGTTCATACATCGGTGCCCTTTTTGAATATACTAATATGAAATTGAATTTCACTGTGCATTTTTTCGATGGATCAGATTATTTGAGTGGTTTTTTTAAGTTTGATTAAAAACCAGCTCGCTTAAGGAGTTACATCCAACATTGATTCTACTGGCGTTAGGAGATTTATATATACAGATAAAGACATACATATATATATTTATAAATTACTTTTAGTTTAGATATTAAATTACTTTATTATTGTCAATTTATATAGTAATAGGAATCATACAAATAGTGATCTAAACAAAATGTACTTGTTAATATTCAAATTGTTATTATTATAATTATTTTTATATATTTGATGCAGATATCAAGACAAAAATCGAATGTAGTACTGTAATTGTATCTGCGTACAGTCAATCAAACAACTTTCGTATTTCATAATTAATACGTAAAACAACATTTATAATTCTGAAGAAATGTATTCTTTTAAGTCAATTCATTATAAATGCATTCAAGAATAAATTTATTATACATTACATATACATATGTATAGAGCAATAATAATTCACTCATACTTTAGATTGTATAAAAAATAAACAAAAAAAAAAAACATCGAAAAAAATTATATATATCAAACCTGTGTCGCTGTCTGTACACAGCCTTCATACACTTCATACACTTCCTCAATTCACTATTCTCTTAATGCACTAAATGACCACATTCGTACAACACACAAATAATATGACTTTCATTGACCAGTCACTTGTGACACATTGGTCTGTTATACCATATTTGATCAAATATTTCGTTTCTATTATAAATTATTCTAAACTAGTTTTTGCCCGCGACTTCGTCCGCGTTAGTTTCGTCATTAGTAATATATGTATAGCTGACCAGGCGAACTCTATTCCGTCTTAGAGGCCATAAATAATCAGGTTTTTCCTGTTTCAATCAAACAGAATGATTGACATATTAGTTAGTTGTCAAATCTAATGTCAAAAAAAGCGTTTGTATGGGAAATAGAAAAGGGCTGTTTTTAGGGTTTTCCCGGCAATTATTCCAATTTTTCTCACCTTTTATACCTTCCCTGAACCTCCACGAACATTTCAAGACTAAGATAAGACAAATCCGTTCAGCTGTTCTCGAGTTTTAGCGAGACTAAGGAACAGCAATCCATTTTTATATATATAGAAGATATATCATAATAACCACATACTTTCCACGACATAATGAGATGCTTAATTTAATTCAGGACCAATATGTCCCAATATAATCCATCATATTTTTTATGTTGCCCATCAGAGGTCAGCTTATACTGGTCGCACATCGCCTCTAAGAACTGCCACTCTGTGTAATTATATACGAGAGCGTCTGTATTAATCTTCCAAATACTACGTTATTAGATGAAACAAAAAAAAATGGCCGAAAAAACTTTAATAGAGGTCAATAACTGGACTAAGAGCCACGGTAGCGAGTGACGGCATAGAATCACGGCATTGTGTACAATATATACATATATTAAAAACACTTCTACTTATTATTTATACACAACATAATCTTAAATACAAGTAGCCTATGTTTATCCTCATTATAATAGCTATCAGTTTGTGAAAGTTAAGACGAAATCGATCCAGGCGTTTTAATTATAAGCTGGAACAAACAGGCACACAAACTTTGTAAGAATGGTATTTTAATATATCTATAGAGTCATACATTCATATAATTTTAGTAAAGAATAAGAAAGGTTTCCATTATAAAAAAAGCTTTATCAAATAATTACATACTATTTCCAGAGAAATTATGTATTTAATATATATTGAAATGTACTCTACCTATAACTACATATCTTCGATTGTACACTACGTACAATTGAAGATAGTTTTAACGTTTACTAATAAAATTAATCATTATGTTAAAGTACTTTTTTGTTTGTCAGTATCCCCTACGTCTATACTCTTGATCCACATGTAAACACTATAGAGTAGATATATCAAAAGTTTGATTTACCAAATATTAATATTTAAAATGCTCTATAATTCTTAACCTTATATTTTAAGTAACTTATTTTTTTTTTAATAAACAAATTTTATTTGATTTATAGTTTTCAAAACACGTTTGAACTAAAATAAGGTTTTTACTATTTTTATCTACTTTATTTTTTATATTCTATATGAGGAATTTTATTTCTATTTTATTCTGATTTTTACTATAACAATGTTAAATTCAGGTGCTTTATTAACGAGTAATGATAGAGATATAATCTCAGACGGAATTAATCAGCAATTATATGTCTTTACGACGTGTAAGACTGTTTGCTTGTGTATCCAAATTATTAATAAATTATTTACTATAGAAATAACTTTCTTAACATATCAAAAAATATATTAATATACCTAGCAAAATTTTACTAGATCGTAATATTAGTCTTATAAAGAGACTGAACAAAATTACTTTAATCCTGTTAAAAATTTTAGCATATAAACTAAAAATTTGTTATTTTTTATATTCATTTTCTATTTTTGATGATGATTACGTAAAATTTTAATATTAAACTCTTCATCTCTACCTAAAGAATAATGTATGTTTACACTATTAAAATGTTAATTAAACAAAATATAACTCCAAAATAGGAAAGACAGACTTAAAGATTAGATCAGAATTAATGCAATAATATATGAATATATAAATATAATGTTATTTTATATTTAACCCACAGTTAGTAATAATTTCGGTAACTGTTTATTTCAGTTCATTTGTGAGCATGTATCGCTAAGTCTTGTAACTTGTCCAAGTCAACTATTTCTATATTTCTCTAAATTCAAAGCACTCGCTAATTATATTTTGAGATCTTTCATTGAGCTGATACCGATTTATTTCTGATGATGGAATCCCAGATGTTTAATAATCGTTTGCTTCTGACATAAATTGAAATAAACATATAACTTTTGTCAGAAATCGCTACTTAGCGATAAGATCGCGTTTTTGTACATTACAATTTTTTTTTCGTGTAAAATTTACTGTTTGTGGTGTACAATAAAGTATATTCTATTTATCTATCTAACTTCATCTTTCGATAGTTATATTTGAAATTCGATCCAATCAAGAGATCGTGAAAATTTCTTTATCATATATGTATACAAATTAAAAAATCTTCGTACATACAAAAATAGATACATTTTCGCAGCCGCCGACTTTTTATATTAAGTAGCGCCGTGTTAGAAGTCATGCTTGAGACGAGATGATAATTGTCTCGTGTAAATAATTCGTGTTAGTTTTAACAGTGGTTAGTGAAGAGTAAGTATAATTACATTGTACTAAATGTAAAAAATGAAAGTGTCAAGCACCACTGGTTAGCTTATAATCTCGACTCTCGAGCTTTATGCCAAATATATGTACAAGTATATAATTTGTAACCTGTTAAAATTATTGTGTGTTTAAAGCGTTATAGACATAGGATACAATCGGATAAAAGTTAGATTATATTAGATATTTAATTTTTTTAGTTTTTTATATACAAATGAGACTGAAAAATATAATCTATGCCGTTTTTAACATAATGTTTCCATTGATTTGAAATTTTTGCCAAAACATAATTTCTTAGTATTAGAATCTATCAAACGTGACCACCAATTAAACAGAACTAAACTATTTTCTAATATAACTTCTAAATAAAAGTAAAGTCTAATTCTGTGTTAATTATCTCTTATCCTTTCTCAGCATCTCATTCAGATGCTAAAGAGACGTCATCCATCTTCGTCAAGCCGAGACGCAGCTTGCATCCAACACTGAAGCTGAACTACAGAACATAGGCCATCTCTTTTCTTTAATAGATAACACACACTATCTCTGTCTTACACTGAAATGATTCAGCGACTAACTTAGAATGCATGTTAGAAGGCTCTCATAAATTTTAAACTCTATTATAGTGAACATAAAGCATATTTTACTTCGACGGTCATGACTGAATTGAATTTCCGAAGCAAGTGCTGATGCAGAATAGCACAATCTTTTATTTTTCATTAATAAATCGAATGAATAACAAATTAAAAGGATTACAATGTATTCGTAAGAATTATAGAAGACGAACTTAGGAATTTGGAAATAATAAATCGTTTTATTAATCAAATATATATGTACTAATGTTTGTATTACTATAAATAAATGTAATTTTATTGTATACTTGAATAATTATAGTATAACGTATGGGTAAGTTAAAGTTAAAAGTAAGTACATTATAAGTGTTGGTAGATTTTCGAGACTGTAATCTATCTACTTCAGAAGTGGGGTGCGGTGTTAGTGAGAGCGGGTGAATATGTTTCACATAAAAAATACGCTTCATATTAAAACATCACTAATGCACAATTTATTTCATTGTCTATTATATAAATAGGAAATTTTCAGTAGATAAGCAATTTTTCCTAAAAAAATATTTTGGTTTTATTTTGTTTATAACCATAATATGTAAATATATGTA